AAAAGCAACAGATTGAGCTGGAGGCTAACAAGATTTCCTAACATTTTCGGAGCAGTGTTGTTCAAGGAAGAAAGTCTCCTCCCAGTACCTGCTATGCAAAACCCTGGAGGTGTTCATGGGTTTAGTTCATATTTGCTTTTCCTCTCCTTTATTTTAAAAGGAAGTTTTATTTCTCATGGAAGATTACAATGACAGCTGAGCAGAGAATCACCATCTTGAGCCTTAGTTTTGTTATTTAGTATTTAGTATTATTTTTACCTCAGGAGCAGGTAGTTTTACTTCTTCAGTGAGGCAATACAGGATGAACACATCAGGACGCCTGAAACTTCTGGGACAGGTTTGCATTTCCCAAAGGAGGGCTGGTGTGATGTGTGTGGAATCCCAATTTGGTTCACCTTGAGGTTCATGACCTGATGTGGCAGTTCCGTGGAGCCACAAGGAGCTGCAGGAAGAAGCAGAATGGCACTGGGAAATGAATCTACCTTCACCCCCCTCCGCACAGCCCCATCAGCGCTGTCCTGCACTTAGAGCCCAGCTGCGTGACCCCAGTGTGATGAGCAGTAACACAACAGGTAACAGTATTGGAAGGGGAGAACTCAAAAATTATTACCTGGCAGGAGCTGGATGGCTTGGTTTTAAGGTTCAGTGTTGAAGGCTTCATCTTGTAAGGACACAGTGTCCTCATCATGACACTGTCATCCTCCTTCATCCCAAGGTTGACTGGATATGATGAAGTGTGCAGGCCCTGCATAGAATGAAACATAGGAGACTGTGGAGCAAACCACTGCTTTTCCAGATACCATGCATAATACAAAGCAAAACTTTTTTTTGTAGTTTCCAGGCTGAAGATGGATTGGCACAACATTTCATTGCTCATCAGGTTCTGGCATGAGCTGGCTGAGGTATTCCAAATGCAGTTCAGCAAGGAAACATACCACAGAGGGGTGGGATACAGTTGAGTAAAGCTGCTGGTGAGTAACAGGGAAATCCTGGTGAGGGTGCACGTGGGCACATATTCTACTAGATGGCACAGAGAGTCTTATCTTTACTGGTGCAGCAGCACTGGTACTGTGGAAGTGTCACCTCTAGTGAGGGTCATTAAAAATAGAAGTGGTTGCAGTGGCCAGACTAGCAATGGCAAGAGGCACCCGTCATCCCAGGGTAGATGAGTTTCTGAGGCTCTCACACAGGGAGAAATAGAAGTGTATGGCACAATTCTGTTTGAGTAGCAGGAGGAAAAATGAAAGGTCTCTGTTCAAATCCATAGGCAGGTTAGGAGAACAGGAGAACCATGACAACATCTGTGCAGTGCTCCATCAGGGGAAAATGGAGTTCTCTGCCTAGCCATAGTCTTGTTCCTCCTCATAGCAGGCTGCTTCAGATCACAGCAAAATAGGCTTTTTTTCCTAGGATTTGCCAGATTGAATTTGGAAGAGGCTAGCAGTGTCTGATGGAGGCTGCAAAGATTAGTTCTGGTTCCAGCATTTCTTCAGCCCAGGCACAGCAGCAAAGTGCAACCACAGGGCTGATGTCATCTGTCTGCTTGGGGAGGGCATGCAACCAGCAACAGCCCTTCCTAGTTTTGAACTTTGCAGTGGAGACTTCTTCGTTCCCCATGGATTTAATGTTCCTGAGGTTTAAAAAGAATAAATCAGAACAATTGGAGCTTTACTATTCTGTAGAATGGTTGCTTCTGATCAGAAACTGAAATCCCACTCCGCACTCCTCCAGTGTGGAAATCTGTCAGGTAAACAGAAATCACCTCATAAAAGCTCCTAAACAGCTCTGTTTTATATTTTAATTGAGGAACAGAACATTTTAAGTACTTTTATTGGGTGGCGCCTGCTGAATGACAGATGTCCATGGCGGAGTATTGCTGAGCACACTTTCATAAAACAGGGCAATTCCTTGCTTGAAACATTTACAATTAAAGGCTTGATTGAATAACGAGTTCTGTGCATGGAGCTCATTTCTGCACTTGTTTGTGCACCTGAATCAGGCTGGGATCGTTCGGGAGGTTGGATATGAGGTGTCAGTTGCTTTGTTCAATGACCAAATAGTGCTCATGGGCACAGCTGGAAACGTGCCTTTGATTTTTCACCGATAGAGATAAGGTATGCTGTGCTGTGCTGCACTGCGAGACTTGCTAACACCCTCACTTCAGCTGGGAGGCTGAAGTTACATGTTAGGAACAATCCCAGTTTGTAAACAGGCAGAGATTTTAAAATGAACAGTAATCCTCAGTAGCTGACAAAGTCTTAAGTAATTTCTGCTTTATTTTTTATTTAACTCCTGTGACCCTTATTACTTTGATACCCGAGAGCTCTCTTTGATACCCATGTCTTTGTGCATCGATTCTCACAATATCTAAAGGAAGTCAGGCCAGCATTAGTATTATTTTATCCGTCCGTATTATTTTATCCAGGGAACTGAGGCATGGGGAGATCAGTGACTTGTCCAACGATATTCTTCAAAAAGGGGTCCCAGTGCTCTAAACACATGACCTATCTTGGGATAGTATTTACGATTTTGCCTTGTAGAAACACTCAAAGCATGGAACAACCAACAGTAGAGTGGATGACAGGGTACAAACTGCAGACTTTCATTCTAGCAACGCAGAGACTCAAGTTAGAAAGCATTTCAAGTTACACCAATACTGAACTGAAAAAAAACCCATCTCTAACCTGCTACCAACATGAAGTTGTCATGGCACAGAAAATCCTAACAGTGAACGCCTAAACATAGGAAAAAGCCCCCATACCTCTTTGAAAACTTGAATCCACAAAGTAAATCCTGTCTCAGCAGAAGATGTGGGAACAGCAGAAGGCAAAATGTGTCATGGGAAAATCTTACTGGATACAACGCAGGACGAGAACGTGCAAACTGATGCAAAATTAAATGCCATCAAACAAGATAACACATACACCAGCACTGAAGAAAATGCACAGCATGCTCATGAAAAAATATTAATTCCAAGGGGGTCTGAGGACATCTAAGCAGCCCCTGGTGACTCTATTTTGCCAGGAATATGGAGGTTTCCAAAAAAGGATGCAGGAAGATGCTGCAGAAATTAAATGAGGAATAAATGAAGTATAAGGGCTGGTCAGTTACAGAACTAAATGGAAGATGTGTCAAACCCAGCCCCAGTATGGAAAAAAACAAAGCAGGTACTGAGTGATTAGTTTGTCTGCTACTAAAAAGTGACCCTGCTGTTCATCTCTAGGATACCATCTTTCCTTCTTCAGCACGCTCTGCAGGCAGTGATTTTCAGGAGTTGCTGGTTTGCACATCCAAAGTAGGTGCATCTCAGTTCAGGGCAAACAAAATGGTAGAACAGCTTTACTTGCAAAATCTTTGTAAATGGGGGAATATTCTCTGGTTGAAAGGAAAAGGATTGTGATTCAGAGGCTGGTGTGAATATGTAAGGGGCTCAATATTTAATAAAACACACCTTCTTTGTGGCATGAGTGACTGAGCTCATTCATGCTCAACAACCTTGAATTTTGTTGTGCTACTCCACATTTAAGTGATAACACAAATCCTTCTGCAGATCTAAGAAGGGAGGAAATTTTCACAAGTTTTTTGCTGGATACTGACAGTGATTCTGGCAATAGGCTCAGCTGATCAAAATCCTTTATACTGAGCTGTGGAGGAAGATGCTCCTAAATTCTTCTGCTTTGTCTTTGGAAGGCCAACGGCTTGTGTATTCTGGTAACTCCCCAGATCTCCCATATAAATCAGAGAAGACAAATAAGTTGTAACTACTGTAGTGCCTCAAAATTCTCACAGTCTCCATCACAAGCTTTCTACTGATGAAAAGTAGTGAGCCAGACATATTTCCACGGAAAATCTTGGTGGGCCTGTCCAACAGCAGCCAGAAAAGCAAGATGTCTCTTCAGAACATGGGACAGCTGTGGTTACAGTGGGATTACGGAGAATGACAGACAAAGTGAAGACAAGTACAAGCAGAGCAAGAAAAATGAGACCCAGTCCTGAGACCCTCTGCCTTCTGCTGGCTGCGAGATGGTTTGGAGATTTCTAGAAGTCTTATTCCATGTGCCCCACTCCCGCTGTAGGAGCAAAGAGCCATTTCCAGCTACTTATAAACGCAGCATAGTGGGAAAAATAAATCATGTTTTGGGGCTGTTATTCTCTAAAGAAAACAAGTGGCCTAACCCTGTACATACAGTCACGACACAGGAGTTAGGCTGAAGCATGTGCTGAGGCAGGAGATGAGGATCTGGCTTGCACAGCTGCCTTTGAGCAGGGTCAAGACAATCTCACACAGGGCACAACTCTGTTAGTTTTGTTCTGGTCTTTCTTTCCTTCTTTCTTTTTTTTTTTTTCTTTTTAAGAGCATTAGCTCTTTTCTAAAAATGATATTCTGCTGTGAGTGGGAAATGAGAACAGGCCAGTCCAAAGGGAAAGAGTGCAATGCATGCATCGGCTGCAAGCCTAAATAAATACCGAGGTCTGAAGATGCCTGGCTCAATTTTGTTTTACAGAGTTTCATTTCATGAATCTTTCCCTTTCATTGTTAACCACTCACAGCTGTGATACAATGAATAATAATAATAATAAAAGAAATGTATTCATTATTCATAATAAAAGTTCATATTCCTTGTAGAAATGATATAATTGGTGATCAGGAAGTACAATTCTCCTAAAAGTTACCAGGGCTTTTTAAGTATAAGCACAGTCCCCACATGCCCTGTGTTCAGGGGGACGTGTTTGTTAAGCCTTGGTGGTGGGCTGAGGTGGTGTAGCAGAAATGCTAACTCATGGCCCGAAGCAGTGATTGAGCACCTGGTGGGAAGGCAGGGCCAACCCAGGGAGCTCAGGTGCATGCAATGCAATGCAATGCAATGCAGCTGAGTGACCAGAAGGGGTGAGCCAGGATCCACCTCTTCCCAGACCTGTTTAAAGGTTGGCAGGAGAGACACAGGTAGCTCACTGAAGACCCCTGTCTATGTGAGGCCTTCTGAAGGTAAGCATTTCATTTATTTCTGCATCTATGGCTGCTGTTTTTGGGCCTGTCCTCCATTGCTGCACCCAAAGGTTTTGCGATACTGCTATTATTGTTGTGTTTTCCATAGTGTTATAGATTTACAGGTGTCCTCTGTCATCCTGCAGCAACAGCTTTGACTATGGAATTAGCATTCCTTGACTGTGCCCCATTGAGTGTGATGTGTGTTTCCATGAGGATGCAGCTAGGGCTTGAGTTAAAGCATAGCAGAGTTGAAGCTTTGGGGAATCTGGCATGTGAAATGTTCCTGGGTTTCTTTGACAATGAAAATAATGAATCTCTTTGCCATATTCCCCAGGTGTTTTCCTAGATGTCTACTAGTTAGCCCCTTGCTTCCTGCCTGCAATTAGCACTTACATTGTTGCAAAGGGAGATGAAATTCACTCTCTGCCATTCTCCTTCAGGAATCTCTCACACCTTTCCTACTGGGTAGGAATATGAGCTGTGGGTAAGGGGAGATTCTAGTAGTAGAATTAGATTTGCAAGCAATCCTATCCCCCTGTGTCTCTTCTACTAGATGTTGGTCCTCATCATGGTGTGTGAGCATGGAAGCCCACAAACAGGATTTCTTTCAGCAAAGACCCAAATTTTCACGACTTCGTTCTGCCCCTGGAATTATAGAGGCACAAACTGGTCCACGTGCATTTCACACAGGGTAACTGCAGCTGGATAAGTGCCTGCTATTTTGGTGAAGGAGAAGGGTGAGCGTAAAGCTGGGAGTACATGACCACTGACCTTAATTAGAGAAGATAAAAATGTTGAAACATGATTCCTATGAAAACCAAGGAAGGTCTTTATTGCCGAGTGTTTCCACATGGATGCCACTGAGAAGAGGTCAAGCGTTTCTATATACTTTAAGTAAACAGCAGATTGAGTTCATAGTCTGGACTGGATTTGAGCAGTCTCTGTATTCTGCAACATCATAATTGAGTCTTATGTACTTAAGATTTGATTGATATCCACCAACATTATTACCTGAGATCTGCCAGGAAACACAGAGGCTATTAAGAGCTTGCTAGTGAAGCTATGCCTAGTGTCATATATGGCTAACCCCAGGCTGGGACTGGGCCTTGGGCTCTGACTTTAGCAGAGGAAGAACGATGGTTTCTCTTAGGAGTTGCTGTTGTTGGTTTTTGTCTGATAATACATATCTTCAAATCTTTCCTGTCATGTAAAAAATGCCCATAATCTGCAAAATTAAACTTGTTGAATGAGAAATGAGTTGCATGTCAGGAACAGAATGCTTCAAATAAGGCAGTTTATTTACGTGCCACTAATGAAGCATATCATGCCATGTTAAGATATCAGGCGAAAAATTCTTGTGTTCTTTCTTGCAGTTATGCAGGCTGAAGGTTAAGACAACTGAATGCAGTGGCTTTGTATCAAAACCAACTCAGTCTCCCTACCTGGAAATGGGATGACAATTGAATCACAAATTGCAGTCTTATATCTGCAGATTTAGCTCTAGTATCACTGCCACCTATTCTTATGTTATCAGGTAACAGCATTCATCACAGATGCTCCACATTCCCTTCTTGTCTTCACTAGAAGTCCTGTTTGCAGATAGGGAAAAGAAGTCACAGAGCAATGATGCAAGTCCACACAACCCAGTGGCAGACCATCCTGAGCCCCCAGTTTGACCCAGCAGACCTAATAACTTCTACAGCTATTACAAGCAGGAAGAAAGGGCAGGAGTGTGCTTAGGGCCTAACTAGAAACAGATGAGTCACTGGAAGTATCCCTATCCTTCACATGAGGACTGGAAGTATTGGTGCCCAAATTATTTAAGTGTATTGCTGGGAGGAGGGAATGAGGCATGAAACATGGGAACTTCATTCTCTCAACTTTCAAGCTGAGCAATAAAGGTTTAGATGCAGCCAAAGCAGAAAATCCCTCTTTCCTGGTCTGCATCTGCTTGTTAAAAGGAAAAAGAAAGGGCAGCTGATTTGTGAGTGCTTTCCTGCTAGAACTGTAGATTTGAAAGCTGTGCCCTTGATTAATGTGGGGAATGCAATTGCATGTGCCATTAATTATTACTGATAAACCAAAGTAGTGATAGTCAAAGTCTCCTGCCACTGAGATCAGGTTCTGTGGAAAAAGAAAAACCCAGGAGCCTCCAGCCTATCAGTATTTTTTGTTTGTTTGTTTTTTGATGAAATGTCTGAATTGCAAGTCTCCAAACTTGGTGTGTTGTCCAAGTACGTGATATCTATAGGTGCAGATCAAGAGAGCTGAAGCTTATCTACACAGACAGCAAAAAGCAGCTTACTGTCCCATTAGCATGTGACCAGCCCCAATTATGGCTTCTTCCCCCATGACATCAGTATGCAATGGAGGATCTCACTTTTTTTTTCCTCTTGCCAGAGGCAAGCGAATACATTATCCAGCAGTGAGGTGTGGGGCGGGCGGATGTGTAACTCTGGGGTGATTTGGATTCCACACTCGTGTGGGGGTGTGAGCCAACCTCAGAAGTCATTTGCACTGATGCTGACACATACAGCATCCCTCAGAGATCTGTCTATCAAACTGCAACATGCTATGCAGAAAAATTAGATTACTCATGCTGCAATAAAGAAGGGAAGATGACAATGATGGGGGGGAAAAAGAACTTCAAAATCTAACAGCTATTTATGAAATGAGTATAAATCCTAACAATGGAGAAGTATCCTAGAGACTTATTTATTTTAGCTCTTGCAAACCATTTCAAGGAGAGTGAGTTGGAAAGATCCTATTAATTCTGACACTGCCTCTGGAAAAAAAACACTTCATCACAATTGTCACATTACAGTTATTGTGAAATACCATCTTAAGTACTCATTATGATTTTGCTGCTGGTCTTACTGCTCTCAGCAGCAGGGTTTCCTCTGGCTTTGGTAAGTGCAGGATCAGGCCCTCTCTCTTTCTCTCTATGAATTGCAAATGGACTGCTCATGTGCCAGCTGAGTAACTAGGCAAAGTTCACTGTGCTCAGTTCAAAGATGCAAGATGAAGCTCAGGGCATTTCACTCACAGTATTTGCAGAGTTCAGGTCTACAAAAGTGTTAAAGTGGTTTAATACAAAATCCATAAGACAAACGTTATGCAGCTATGTGTGAAGCCCTGTCCAATGAAATCCATTTCTTTGGGAAAAAATACAAAGTAGTAAAACATATTTTGTGTAAAAAAGAAAAGGCTATGCGAAGCTTAGGAAAATCCTATAAATCAGAATGCTGTACAGCTTCAGGAAAGGAGATTTAAAATAAATCTGTGGAAGAATATACACAGACACACACACAGATAGCTGGAAATGGATCCGGACAAGTGCTGAGGTTAGAACTTCTCAGATAGCACTGTGGGACTAGTTTTACAATACCAGAGAATGGTGAGGTTTGGCTGAATGTTGATTTTTTTCATTGTAGTAATAACTAACCTATGTTGGGGTTTCTATGGTATTTGCTCCTTGAGTTATTCCCCAGGAATGCTATCTAGGAAAGATAATTGAAACTTTTAACTCCTGCCTGCCCTGGATCATCCATTAGCCATGCTGCTGTCAGCTGCAAATTGTTTTACTATTGTTATTATTTCTGGAGGAGCCAGTTGTTGTACGTTGGCTTGATCTGTCAAGCAATTCCAGCCATTTCCTGTGGGGTTTATTACCCTGTTTTGGTTGTCTCTTCCCAGAGTTAAGTTGTGGTTCCTGTCCAAGCCAGAAGAAGAGCTATGTTTGGTGGCCCTGCATCTCACGTAGCCTCTGTGCAGCTGCTGGCCTGCTGTCCAGGACAAGGAACTGCCACGTGGTACGTTTAGCTTTCCTTGCTTATTCTTTGAGTGTGTGACACTACTAAACTCTGGTGTAGATCACCCAAGCTGTGTGATTCAAGCCTGCCTAGTAGTTTTGGAGGGCTTTTTCTGGCTTTGGCTGCTTAATGCAGACATGCAATTTCAATGTGACCACACATAGTGGAAGTACACGGAATTATAGGTCTTCTTAAAATTGTCAGGAGCAAATATGATCAGATCTGGTTCTTGATCTCATTACTGTCTGAAAGATTTGACTGGCATTTTTAAATGCCATGATTTATGTTCTTCACCTTAACACAGCCCTCGGTAGTGTAAACCCAGTAACTCTATTACTCTCCAGGGCAACTTCTAGGAATCTGATTGGAGAATTTACACAACGCTGTGTCTATAAGAAAATATTAACATGGATTAAGACAAGTTGATAGATATTAAACTAGGCTATAGAATGAAAACCACTGAGAATAAATCAAATAACTTTGCCTAACTACAGAAAGTATTTGTAAAGCCCTGTAAGGTTTCCATTTCCTAAAGCCACCTGCCATCTCAAATGCCCATAATCAGTCACAGATGTTGGATACCAACCTGCTAACCTTATGGCTTTGAGAGAAAATATTGCACTTTTGTAAACTCATTCTTGGGTGTTTCCTTTATTTCTTAAAAAAAACCTAAGTTTTCATCCCTTATTTTCCACGTAAATGTAATGAGTTATATCAACTCTGACACTTGGTTCTGCTTAGCCTTCCAGTTCTGGTTAGCTGCTTTCCTACCTGGCTCTTCAGATATTTGAAGACCTCAGGTTGTTGTTGTTGTTCTAATTGTTAGGGTACTTTCTGACTTTACAACTCATGATTCCCATTCTGGCAGGGAAGAATCCAACAAGATGCAAAATGTACATCTTTTCTGTAACCATTTGCTAATGGAGAAGTGCATATTTTTCTTTTCTCAACTAGTGTTTGTCTCCACAATGAAGATATATCAAGTACTGAGCTTTTATGAAGTACTCTGGAAACG